CTCTCCAAGACTCTTTTATGTATGTGTTTGTTATCTTGTAAGTGTGTGATTCTGATTCTATGTAAGAAAACAAAACCTTCATTCTCCATCCGCGGTGGTTGGAAAATGAAAAATGTGATTGCAATATTTCACTTTAATCTTATATAATCCTCTTATGAGTCATAACAATGCTTACTCATAATATGTATCAGTAACATTCATTATCTTGATGTGAAGAGCCAATCACTCTTCCATATGATCTGACCAAACTAGATCCGCGAAGTGTCCGAATTGCAAGCAGAGAACAGAGAACACAGTTGTGTCTCAAACATATTATAACCAAGCACACAAAATTTCCGTTCACATTAACAAAATGTAGAGCCTAGATACAATCATCATATCATACGTAAACCAAGGAAGAAACTTGAGCCTCCTCATTCCTAATATACAATCAACAGTGCTGCAAAGCAAGCGAAACTGCAGTCTCTTAAACCGAATTGAAGAATAAGAAGAAAAAAGCATGTGAAAGAATAATAGATCAATCAAGTGATATGAAAGGTAGTGAAAGTAGAACTTGGATCTGGAAGACGATTTTGCGGATGAGAGTTAATCAAGAACGTGTACACTCAATGCCTTGACAAATAGCCAACCAAACACCAAACAGCGTCAAACAAATCGCTGCATCAATAGCAAGAACTATCTTCACTTGACGCCGCCATTTCCTTTCAATGCTATGAGAACCACCAGATCGTCCCTGTCTTGGAACATATGTTGCTTCTGCAGACGAGACATTAGAACATTCCGAAACATTTACTCTATCAGTGGATTTTCTTTCTTCTATCTCAATGTCCCTAAGTGTATTCACAATCACATGATCTTTCCCTTTCTTCTTCTCTTGCTTGTTGGATCTTCCCAAAAGCGGAGCTTTCGTGGAAGTACCTACGTCGCTTTGTTCAACAACATCTATAGTTGGTGATGACAATGGAACACTAGTCTCAGCAACATGTTCCAATGAAGCTATGAGTTTTCGAACAAGCTGGTCTTGAACATTGCTAAAACTGATTGTTCCTCCTCTCGAATTCTTCTTCCTGTTGGCTTTCTTAAACTCATCTTTCAGATGCTCAAGAAATTCAAGAACGCTAGATTTCTTTAAAACATCATCAACAATGGCGAAATAAACAAACCCATCTTCCATTAAGTAGACAAAAGTCCTCTTACTTATCGTTTCGAAGTACCATTTGTGTAAAGGCGGAGTCTTTTCCAAGCATAAAGCAGCGAGACTATCGTTTTGTTGGTCTCCACCATTGTAAGCGTACAGAATCTGATTGTCTCTTGAGACACAACAGTAGTGAACTCTGTTTTGGATCGAACCCATGTCGAAACCGGAAGGGGTCTTCGATTAGGGCAACGAAAAGCAGAGAAATTTGTGAAATTCCAGGATGATTTCTCTGATTCCGGTCTAGGGTTTTTGGGAATGTGCAAAAGGAAACCCAGAAAACCGAGCTTAAGATTCTTTATCTTTGCCAAGAAACAACGAAAGGAATCTTGAAAGGACCAAACATGAGATCAAAAAGCGAGAGAAAGAAAAAAAGCATTAAATCAGAGAGAGAGAGAGGACAAATCAGACATAGACTCCTTATCTAGTTACATGTCTCCCTCTCCTAATTTCATGATCGAGTTTAGTCTTCTCTCACCCACC